AGACGTACGACCGTCTGTCCAATGTCCGACAGCCAGCCCTCGAAGGGGGCAAGACGTCTGGTGGGCTTCAGATAAGCCCCCACGACAGCGATGGGCCCCCATTGCACGGCGACGTGCCGCTCCCCTCTTTCGATGGGGGTCGCATCGGGCCCCCCCGGCTCCGACCGCCATCGAATTGCCACCGAGCTTTCCGCCCGCCCGACAGCCCAGTATGGACTGCCTTCTGGGGGGCGGTGAGGCTCGGACAGTATCGCCAACGTGAATCCCCTCTCCATCATGCTCTGGTGGAGCAGATCCTGTGCAGATGGAGAGTGATTCACGTTGGCCTGTAGCAGGCCATATCCCCTTAGATTCGGACGAGGGGGGCGAGACATTGCTAGTCTTCATCCCCCCCGTCCGATGGGGCCTCAATCTCCATGGCCTCGTCTGAGGCCTTCTCCTCTCGCGCTCTTGTGCGAGGCTGGCGCTGCGGTTGGGGCTCCCCCCGCGGCTCGTCACCCGTCATCTCCCTCCTCCCCTCCGTCGGCCGCTCCTCGGCCGGGGGAGGGGCACCGCCGGTTGCTGGCGCCTGCTCCGTGCGCCGCCCCGGTGGTCCCCCGCGCACGTTCTTCTGGGCGCAGGTCTTCGCGCCCAGAACGTGCGCTGCCGGCCTGCCCTTGTCCGCGCAAAGCGGGCACTTAGGGACAGACCGACAGTTGCGGGAGGTGTGACCGGCCTCACCACACCGGTAGCACCTCCCGCTCCTATCCGCCGCGCTGGGGCATGTTGCCCTCACGTGACCCCTCTCGAGGCACTTGTGGCAACGCATGGGGCGTGCCTCGAGAAGGTCCACCCTGGCCGCCCCCCAGCCGATCCGGATCCGCCCGTTCTGGGACAGCTCCCTCGCCGCTATGAGGGGCAGGCGCATCCAGAGGCTGTACCTCCCTCCGGCGCCCGCCTGCAGCGCTCCGCACTGCAGCTCTGCGACGTCGCACCGTCCAGCCTCAGACACCCACCTCTTTACC